AGTGCAAGTGAATCGTATACTGTATGTTATCTACATACTTGTCATTTGTCTTTCTACGCATACATAGCATTCTCATAAGGTTTTCCCCATCCGTGATACAACGATGAAATTTCCGAACGAACAACCGTCATGTTTATCTGAGAGCTTATGTTTATTCCCGTTTATTTTAGTTTGATTTTCAGTTTCACGTCAATTTTAATTTGCATTTTCGTCTTGTTTCCGTTTTTTAATTTCATCGGTTTATTTTATTTTTATTTATTTTATTTTTATTTATTTATTTTTTTTTTCAAATTTACGGACGACCGTCTATTTACCTATGACGTCGTCAATTGATGCCTGCAAAATAAAATTATCGCATATAATGTATTGTTTATTCCGCATATTGTCTATAATTTTGCATAAATAATAGTTTGTGAACTCGGGCGGTTGAATTTTGGGACTTGTTTCAGGTTCCGAGCCGAGACAACAGAGTTCTGAGTTGAGGGACTGTGTTCTGAACTGAGACGTCCCAAATCTAGTAATCAATGGACTCAAATGACACAATTTGTGTCACTTTCTTGTTCGGACACCAAAATAACAATATTTATTTTGGGACGGCGTAAAATTAATCGCAAAGAAAATAGATGAATTTTTGAGTTGTTATTTTATTTTTATATATTTATTGTATTAAGGTTCGTGATAATAATAATTATTCCGTAAATTTTTCGTTCCTTCATAAAAAGAGTAATGTTACGTAATTGGTTCACTATTAAGTTTGTAACTTTATACTGCATTTGTATGTCGTTTATTGTAAAAAAACTTTCGGACAATTTCACACAATTCAGTGCGAGATTCCCCAAAGACAGTAATCACTGTTTAATCAAACGTCAAAGCAATTTAACCAGAGAATATCGAAAATAGACTATATTAATTAATCGATTTTATAGTTAATTTAGCATGCGCTTTGCTTGATATTAATTCATGTATAATAAAGTCAAGGAGAAGTTATTGTTCAACAAGTATAATAAATATCATATATATTAACCATATTTTGTAAAGAAGTGCTCTTTAATACGAAAGAATCCTTTACTATTACGGGATAATGTTAACATGCTGTGTTCAAATTTACTGATAATGTCGACATAGTCGTTTATCTGGTATCGATATGAAAAATTGGCAGTTATTTATTTGATTGATAAGATAAATGCATTATTAATAAATTATTTTTAATTCTTAATCACGTACTTTAATATATATGTTAGCTAAAGACATTGATGTATAGAATGATTGTTGAAAACGTTTTACACATGCTTATACAACAAAATTGGGAACCAGACATATATAACTTTATATAATTTTACTTCAGTAATAATTACAAACCTCGTTCAGAGATTAAAATGGCATTGTTAAATACAGTATACTTGGTTTGTATACTTTAAATAAAGATTGAACGTAGACTTTCATAGATTTCCTTTGACAAACACATCGTATCAGTCACGGAAAGTTATTGATCCGTGTCAAACTATTGGCAGTTGCTACTGTTACATTAACTTTAGTTACAACAATCTGTAAGCAACTTGTATGTAACACTCGTAATTTTATAGTTCCATTTTAAAGTGTCAATAAGCTGAGTTGTTTCATTGAAGAATGGATTCGTCTATTGTACGCTGTCAAATGATCACACCCACCTCCTCTATTTGTTACACGCGTAATGACCCTATAGACGTTAAAGTAACCAGTAGACTTCACACATGTTATACTATTCAACTATCGCACACCAAAATGCGGAATCAGATGAGAAAATTTTCACATCGTTAATTAACAGTCGCGGAAAACGAGCAAAGATATTAAATAAGAAACCATTTTGCTACAAAACTTTTGTCATCCGATATGAAATACCAAAAACTTACATAAGTTGGTTGATATACTATGCTAGATTTTAGACCCTGGTATTAGGAAAGCTAACTCTCGAACAATTAATTTCGGCAGTTGTTTCACCAAACAGTCTTCGCATAAAAGACGTGTGCTTCTATCTCACACGCATCAAGGGGATGCAATGTTTCGAACCTGCTCGGCGCCGATTGTATGTTAAACCCACAATTGTTCTATTATTGCAAGTTGGGCATTGATATTTTAAAACATTTGACAATTGTCGTATAAGTGGTTGTTCAACGAATTATTTGAAATCTTATTAGAATACATACCACTTATCATAAATATGGAAAATAAATAAATAAATGATAACTTGCATGCAATTGTATAATTCTACAATTGCTTTCTCTGCAAATGTATGAATGTCACACTTGCGTTATAATATTTTCTTGACGGTTGTTGTACGTGAGGGGCTTATATTATTAAATTAAAGAAAATATTATATACCAAAGTTACTGCTTTGTAAATAGCAACATACTCCAAAAGTTGTGAAACCCAACTCTGAAAGTATAAAATAAACGTTAAGCGACGAAGCGAAGTCTTTATTATCCCCCAACATCGAATCATCATGCCAAGAGTCGGTGGAACGTCTCGAGTTTTGCGAAGCCACCGGGTACGGCAAATTGGGCAAATTGCCAGACGACGGGCCTCCGCGTTCATACGGATTCCGGATTGCCGTTGCCCTAGGTGCATAAGGGGCCGTCGAGCGACAATTTATGATTTATTCGATGTCCTTGTCATCGATTCGGTCGCTACATATATTGGCGAAGACGGCCAATTGCACGGACTCTTGGTGCAATACGTCTGTGTTGCAGAGACGGCATATCGGTTAGCAGTCGTCGATGATTAGGCCGTGCAACTCTACCTCGTATCGTTCTCATTGCCGGCCGTTGAAGAACATCCTCCAAGAGTAGGGCGCGAATTAAACCATATATCAGCATGGTACTACACGCGAGTATAGAGCGAGGAAACTCTTCGAGGAAGTGACGTGATGGGATCAGTTACTTCGATAGAGACAAGACAACCCTGTGTTTTTTTAAAAGACATTGTCAAATATTTAAAATTAATAAACTTATAACTTTTCCCAAACTTACCCGGTACGATGGCTCATGTGGTGTGGAGGAGCGAAACGTTTTCTCAATAAACCGTGTTGTTGCGTGTTAAGAGACTGTTGTAGCAAACTGTGGTATGTGCACACTATGAAGTGGAGTGGAATTGCGGTAAAGATTGTTTAAATTTCAAATAATGTTGTATTTGCGCTTTGGGAGAGGAGAGATTGTCGTCTGAATATGTAAGAGCACACGCGTGTTTGAACTTTATCGTTTATGTGGTCGATAAACCGTATCGTTGTTAGGGACGTAAAGAATTGTTTGTTGCATTTGCGCTTGGAGAAGATGTGAAGCTATGCGTGCGCAAGAGAGAAAGCATCCGGTTGTCTATGTATGAGTAGACGTGCGTTTGAATTCTTTCATTAGTCACTGGTCAATAAACCGTGTCGTTGTTGGAAGACTGTTCGTGAGTTGTAGACACCTGTCGTATGTGCCGTAAGTATAAAGTGGGAGACGTTGCATATTCGTCACATATCTCAGGGACATGACCTCGTGATAGTCTAAGTAATCGTGTTTCATGGTGTGAGGCACATCCTTGCCAAACGATTGTTCCGCTACTTCGTAAAAAGCGCCAAGTCTGTGTCATGTCTCGACATCGCCTTGTTCAATTCTTACACTATTTCCGGACTCGTCACAGTCGCCCAAGCGTCAGCATTTCCTTGCTGAGCATCTCTTTGATATTGTCTTGTGTTAACCATTTCGGATAAGTCGTATGATGTAGCGTGGGTATGTATGAAATGTCGTGCTGTAGTATTGTATCATGATGGCATAATCCGCTGCAGTACGTGTTCCGTATGGCATAATCCGTTGTAGAACGTGTCTCGTATGGCACAATCCGATGTAGTGCGGTAGCTTCCCCTATACAAGCTAAAGGAGGCGATTATCCGAACCTGTCGCGTTATATTCAGAGAATCGTCAGTTCGGGGTTCACTCAAGAGCCATCTACACGTGAATAAATTTCGAGTAAGAACTCGGGCTTTTTTTCTTCGCCATGGCGACAAAAATGTCGGGTAATTTTTCACAGGAGAGCTCCTTGCCTTCATCAGAGGATTTCAACGGAACCTGGTCTCAGCAGGGTTCAAAAACCGAAGGTTTGTATGTTTGCGATTGGCCGATCGTCTGGGCCGCGACCGCAATCGTGCAGCGAAATTCGTCTGATGGGGATTGGGAAATTCCGATGCTATGGTATGATATTTCGTAGGGTGGCAGAATTTTCGAGTGTCCATGTCATTACATCTTCAGGTAAGTGAGAGTGCTGCGCTGTGCAATGCCCTAACGTATTACATCTTCCCATATTGCAGCTAACTAAATCGCCCCTTTGCACAATGGATATTAGAAAATCGGCCTCAAAGGTGAAAAATTCTTTGGAGCTGAACAAGACGGTTGCTTTTGACATCATGATAGAGAAGCCAGTGAGCAAAAGAATCAACACAGTTCCCTTGTCGTCGATTTCGTTCGCGTTTTTCATGTCTCAACAAATTAATTTGTTTTCTGCTAATTTCCGATTTAAATCTTTTAACCCTGAGACGAATTAACTATTACTTCTATGTCCTTACTCGGTTCCAAATAATTTGAATGCTTTCTAATGCAATTTAATTAAATATCGGACTCACATCCTCTTCGGCGTCATCATCTGGAGGTGCGTGTTGAACTGCTGCGATAATGTCTTTCTAAATCGTTAAACAAAATAGTAAATCATCAATGGACACAAACGTTTTCTCTAATTACGATACACAAGATGACGAAACGTTGTTGGACAACCTCTCTTATATAATAGGAAAATCTTTTGTTAATTTTAATCACGTGATCCGACTTATCGAGAGTCATTTACTAGCGCTAGTCACTAGTACTGTTTATAGTTTGGCCGACTTACAGCTTATACTTAACGAGAGTTTATATATGTCGTCCGACTTATCGAGTTTACCCATATACAAACATTGTTCCACATGTGGCATTCTCTGATGTAGTCCTGTGTTGGATGAAACAACAGACTCGATGAGTTTATTCGAAACTCTCAAAAACAGACGAACTCACCAATGAACACTATTAATAATAAAGCATAAAACAGGCATAATAATAAGGAATAACCATACTGGACCACAAGAGACTCGATGAGTTTATTCAAAACTCTCAAAAACAGACGAACTCACCAA